GACAAAGAGCTGAATGATTGGACTCCAGCAGTGCAGTCAAAAGATCTAAGGGCATTCAATTTGGTTAATCCAGTGAGAATTAATGGTGAGTGTTGGACATCTGAAGGTGGTTTTACAGGCAAATGGAGGCACAATTATTCATTTGAAGGTCAAAAGGAGCTCTGAAAAGGCACAAAAAATCTATTTGAAAAGGCTATCCAAGCAGGACAATAGTGTGTGGAAGGAACCCTTCCATATGCCTCTGGATACAGTCCTGTCAATCACTGGTGAAAATGAGGGAACAGCATATTGCTGCACCTGCCTCCATCTCAGGCAAGAGGAGAAAGCTCCCATTACCCAGGGGTTCTTAGTCTGGGGTCTATGAACTTGGCTTTTTAATATTTTGAAAGCAGTGTTTCAATAGAACTGGTTTCCTTTATAATCCTGTGTATTACTTTTTGCATGTTAAAATAGCGACCTAGGAAGACCTAGGAAGATGGGCTTCAGCAGACTGAATGCCAAAGGCATCTATAGACACAAATGAGCATGGGAGAGAGCTTTTTTTATGACAATCTGTGACAAGATCAATAAATCAACCTACGACCCACAAAGATTTATTAAGGCGCCGGCCACTGTGTGAGGCGCTGATGTTACAGAGACAAGAGAAAAACCACCCCTGGCCTCAAGGAGTTTATGTTGTAATGGGAGAGCCAACATCTACATGCAACATACCTGAAAAGGAAATAAAAGAGTAATGGGGGAGGGGCAGACATCCAAGGGAACAGTGTGCTGTACAGGAACAGCAATATTGTTCTCAGATGAAGAAATTAAAGCCATCTACAGTCGTATGGAAAAATGCTCTAAATCACTGTTGATTAGAGAAATGCCAATCAAAACAGCTCTGAGGTACCACATCCCACCTATCAGATTGGCCACCATGACAAAACAGGAAAATGATCAATGTTGGAGAAGATGTGGGAAAATTGGAACACTAATGCATTGTTGGTGGAGTTGTGAAATGATCCAGCCATTTTGGAGAACAATTTAGAACTATGCACCCTTTGACCCAGCAATAGCACTTCTAGGGCTGTATCCCAAAGAGATCACACAAATGGGAAAAGGACCCACATACACAAAAATATTTATAGCAGCTCTTTTTGTGGTGGCAAACAATTGGAAATTGAGAGGAGGCCCATCCATTGAGGAATGGCTGAAGAAGTTGTGGTATATGAACATAATGGAATACTATTGTGCTATAAGAAATGATGAGCAGGCAGACTTCAGAAAAACCTGGAAAGACTTGTATGGACTGATGCTGAGTGAAGTGAGCAGAAGCAGGAGAACACTGTACACAGTAATAGGCATGTTACGTGATGACTAATATTGATAAACTTAACCCTTCTCAGCAACACAAGGATCTAAGACATCCCCAAAGACCTCGTGATGGAAAATGACATCCACATCCAAAGAAAGAACTGTGGAGTTTGAACGCAGATTGAAGCAGACTACTTGCTATTTTTTTTTCTTCTGTTGAGTTTTGTTTCCTCTTTCTGGTGTTTTCTCCTATTGGTTCTAATTTTTACTTACAACACCACTAATGTGAAAATATGTTTAATAGGAATGCACATGTATAGCCTATATCATATTGTGTGCCATCTTGGGGAGGGTGGTGGGGAGGAAGGGGGAAAAAAATTTTAAACTCAAAAGCATATTGTTGATAAATCAAAATAAATTTTAAAAAAATAAATTAAAAAAACATATGGAAGTGATGGTTGATAAATCAAAATAAATTGTTTAAAAAAAGAATGACTTTGAGAGGCAGCTAGGTGGCACAGTGGATAGAGTACTGGCCTTGGAGTCAAGAGGACCTGAGTTCAAATCCAGTCTCAGACCAGACACTTGACACTTACTAGCTGTGTGACCCTGAGCAAGTCACTTAACCCCAATTGCCTGGCCAAAAAAAAAAAAAAGGAATGACTTTGAGCAGCAGCAGCTAGGTGGTGCATGGATAGAGCTGCAGCCTTGGAGTCAGGAGGACCTGAGTTCAAATCCAGCCTCAGACACTTGATGCTTATTAAATATGTGACCCTGGGCAAGTCACTTAACCCCTACTGCCTTGCCAAAAAGCAAAAAACCAAAAATAAATAATTTTTTAAAATGTGAAAAAAAGAATGACTTTAAGCGACTAAGTCATTTTGTCTATTATAAATACCCAAATTCCCTACAAAGGACATACGAAAAAAGACATTATCTGCATCCAGAGACAGAACTGATACATAGAAATTTGTGTAGAATAATTTTACGCACACATACACACAAACATACTCATTTGTGTCTAATGGTAGCCATCTCTAAGGTAGGGGTCAGAGGGAAGAAAAAAAGAAAAAAAAAGAAATTCACATGATAATTTTGTTGTATATTTGAAAGGAAGAGCAAGTTGTGCATAGTAGATTTGCAGTTTCATATGCAATCATCTTTTTTATTGTACTGTGTTATGGAAAATACTTGTTTTATTCCATAAATTAAAAATAAAATTTAATTTACAACAATTCAAAAGAGTAATGGGGGAGAGACACACATTTATGTGTCACCTGCTAAATACCAGATGCTAGGCCAAGTGCTTTACAAATAGCATCTCATTCAATCCTCCCAATAATCCTGGGAGGGAGGTGATTATCCCCATTTTACAGATGAGGAATCTGAGGCAAACACTGGTTAAGTGACTTGACCATCAGTTTGCTCAGTTGTTAGAACCTCTCCATGTGCAGAGACGCTATCCTGAGCATTCTGCATGTGCTAGAGAGCCCTGTTACACAAGGTGATCTTGGGGAGGGGGGAGACTGGAAGCTGGGGGGAATCATGCAGAAAGTGGTTCTTGAGAATAAACTAGGAAACATTTCACAAAATAATTAAACATACAATAAAGCACAGCTAATAATTCATTTTAAAACTAAGTCAATTAGCAGTCTGTAGGGATCCTTGTGTATTGATCAGTGGCCCCATTTCTCCTAAAGGTTGTCTCCATTGCTGGAAGAAATGAGGCATGTGAGGATGAAGACATACTCTCATTCTCTGAGGCAAAGTGGAGCCAGTAGAGCCAGGAAAACACTACACAATGACTACAACCATGGAAAGGCCAGGACGACCACCACACCAAACAGGCAGAAATGAGAATGAGCCTGGCCCCAAGGAAGAGATGAAAGAAGACACCTTCTCCTCCTTGGTAGGGGTGAGCAGGGTCCTGGGGGTGGAAGAAGCAAATGATGCCAGATGTTCTCAGTGGGCTGAGTGGTTTTACAGAGAATTCTTTTTCTCTTCTTCTCCTTCTTCTCTTTTCTTACTAACTGTCACCCTGGGCAAGTCACTTTACCTCTGTCTGCCTCAGTCTCCTCAAGTATAAGTGGGGATAATAATTGTAGCTATTCCGGGAGGTTGCTATGAGGATCAAATGTAATAATCTTTGTAAAGTAGTAGGACTGGGCCGGGCCCACAGGAAATATTTAATAAATTATTATTCCTGTCAGACCACAGACACTCCTCTTATGTTCTCTCAGGACAGACATGAGCCTGTTTTCCCAATCTCTGTTTCTTACCAGGTTTCTCTGTTCCATTATTGCTGTTATTAATTATCCATTAATATATCCATTACAAAAGCCAGTTTCTGTATGATAAAGTGGTTAGCCAGTGTAATATTCATCTACGTGTTTCATTATTCAAATGGAGCTGAGAAAGAGGCAATAGGTGGTGAAGCACTTAAGAGACAGAAAAAGACAGAGATGGAGATGGAGACAGAGACAGAGATGGACACACAGAGAGACATACATACAGAGACAGAGATGGAGGTGGAGAGAGAGAGAGAGACAGAGATAGAGACAGAGACAGAGACAGACAGGAGACAGAGATGGAGATGGAAACAGAGAGACAGAAATGGAGATGGAGAGAGACAGATGGAAATAGAGACAAAGAGACAGAGAGACAGAGATGGAGATGGAAATAGAGACAAAGAGAGACAGAGATGGAAACAGAGACAAAGAGACAGAAAGACATTCATATAAAAAGAAAGAAACAGAGGCAGAAATGGAGAGATGGACAGAGAAACAGGGATAGAGATTTGCACTGCCAGGACCTTTCCTGTCATGTGGGGCTTAGAGTTAAACAAAGTAAAATTATTGATTTGCATTGTTATAACTCCCAGAGCAGTAGAGAGACACACACAAGCTTGAGACACTGATCAAAGAACTTCTCTTGGCTTCCCCCCTGTGACCCACAGTCATCATCCAAACAGGCTCTATCCTTAAGCAAGCCCACTGACTGGCTGCTCTGGCGGCTCTGGCTGCTCCAAGGAATCATGGGCAAAGGTCGTGGTCTCGACATCATTTTTTAGCACAGTCCAAAGTATTAGCCCCAGGTTAACCATTATGAAGTGGGTCTAAACACGTCTTCAGAAACAATCATCTGTAAGATGGTGGTACTGTAATGCATTGTTTCTATCTTTTGATGCAGCATTCCTATTAATGAACCTAGACCCCAAAGAGGAGAAAGATGTCAAAATAAAGACATCATGTTTGCCAAAATATTCCCAGCAGCACTTTTTTTTAGCAGCAAAAACCTAGGGCAAATGGAGGAAAGCGAAGATGTGTGCACAACAATTCACAAAGGGCACCACAAGGAATGAAAAAGATAAAAAATTCAGAGAAGTATTGAAAGAATTTTATGAATTGATGCAGCAGGGGAAACAAATTAAGCAGAGCCTACCTAACTTTAAAGTGGGAATAACACATACCTACCTCACAGGTTTTCTACAACACAATGCCTGGAATATTGTAGGTGCTATATAAATACTAGCAATGTTATTATTGCTTCTACTACTACAAGATGAGGGAAGTGAATATAACATTAAATAGCAACAAAATTCAACAAACAGAAAATATACACGCTTGTATCCAGCTTACTAAAGTAAAAATTCCCTCCCTCCCTTTTTGTTAGGAAATGGTAAACCACAAGGGTGAGAATTCACTTACGCCATCAATCACCATCACCATACTGGACAGCTTTTCTTGACAGCTTTTTTATGAGAAGGCACAAGGAAGACATGTGTTTCCTGGGAAGTGACGGAGGGAGTGACAAAACTAAATACCAGTTCAATCCTGATGATGTAGTGTGGGATAGCTCATAGAGCATGGGTGGGGAGCCTCTTCTGGTTGGCTGTAAAGGACATGAGTGACTGACCAGCACCTCCTATCTGGGTGCTGACTGTTGGGTCCCCATGGTGGGTGGCTAACCGAGGAAAGTGACCTGAGTCACATGTGGGAAAGGTGTGACCTCCAACCACAGATGATAATAGTAATTAATCATTACAAAAAGATCAACGTAGACAACAGAATCTCTATTTCCTCCCAACTCTAAATTACGTGGTCCAACATTTGTGGGCTGATCTAGGAAGCTGACAATCATTTTTTATAATATTTAAGTATATAATATTATAAATATTACATATCATATGATATAAATATCAAATAACATACAAACTAACATTTTTGTAAAAGGGAAAGTACATTGTGAGTCACACTCAACCAATTTGTAAAAGAGCTGTTGGAACACAATCAATACATATTTGTTGGGAGTTGCCTTTAGAAGTAAGTGGGCATAGAAGTCAAAGAGAAAAGTAAGACAGCTTTGAGCAGAGTTTGGCCTGTGAAGGGTATCTTTGACCCTTCCTTTTATCCCCTTTATTTTTCTTTGCCCACCATTTTTCTTAGGCACCTTTATTCATTATTAACACCAACAGCATGAATGAGGAGCCAGCTAAAGGTCTAAACAGCTTCGAGTTTGTATGTAATCTTTTTATCTACAGTCATTAATGATTTAGTTTCTTATTAACTTGTGCTAAAGAATTTAAATGAAGCACTCAGGATTATGAAATCATAATGGAATAAAGTCATTTTGACAACAGAGAAAGTGTGTTCTTTTATTAGGTTTCTGGAGAAACAGGTTTTATTGGGCAGAGGAAATGTGTTGGGCAAGGTGGCAACGGGCATGCAATGAGACCCATTGAGAAACGTGCTCTTCCTAATCTCCAGTAGGAGCAGCAATGCGCTCTTATTTTAATCACATGTTGATAAGCTGATTGATGTGCCTGTTAAAATGAAGCCAGTGTAAACACCCTGGAAATATTCATTGTTATTTATGCCTTTATGCTGCCTAGAGTTTGCCATCAATTTTATTGGAAGCTGGCATAAGGGAAATTTACATTCATAGTCAAATAAAATTCTTCAGTTCTCATTCTTCAATATAAACATTCACATCTCCAATTACAAATGTTTCATTTTATTTTGGAGATCACAGTCGTAACTTGAACAGGGAGGGGTGAATCTTCATCACAGGCTATGGGTTTATCCTTAGCTAGTGTCCTCATCTAACGCCTCAGTAGGCTCTAGAGATGACCCTGGGAGCTCCGGTCATAGGCAGAGCAGCACTGGCTTTGGCAGCTCTATCCATCTGGAAGACTCCAAGTATGGCCTGATGACTGACTGTGCATCTGAAGACCAGACTCATCATCAACCTTGGCTGCACTTTGCCGTTACTGTCCTGCCTGAGGTCACTTTGGTTTCTTGTCCGAATCCTTTCTTTTCCCTTCCAAGAGAAGTGACTCTGCCTCCTAGGTCACCTCCCAGCAGACCTGCCTTGCTCATCTGCAATGGAGCAACGCTCCTGAGCCGTTCCTCAGAAGACATCCTGTGATCTTGGGCTTCTGCTTCCTGTTTCAGCAGCGTAGACTCCCTGTTCACTGAATCTTCTTCCAATTACTGCCTGATGGATGATGCCTGCTCTGAGCATCTGGAGGGCTTTCCTCTAGTTCATGAAGCCGCAGCTATATCAATAGCAAGGCATGATGCACATCTTCATGAGGACTTGAATGATCCTGGCCTAGTCCATCCATTAACGTGTTCCAGTGACATTGCACCCCTGACCACATCCCTCTGTAGCAGCTCCTCCAACCTTGGCCCAAAGTCACAGGCTTTTGCTTCCTCCTGAAGGGAGGGGTTTAGGAAAGCCATTTAGACCTCTTTGGCATTCTGTTACCACACTGGCTCTCCAGCACTTACAAGTACTGAAATGCTATAATATCAGAGCATTATCTTTTCAGTGTATGAAGGACATCCTAAGCAAGACCCCTGAGAATCTCCAATAATTGACCCCCACACACCCATTTCTCTGCTCCAGCCCCTGCCACCTCTGAATCACATCAGTCCCAGCCAGGACTTCAAGGGTTCCTTTATTAGGTGAATAGGGTTTCTCCCATATAAAGAATTATAGTTTTCTGTATTAAATTCCCTACATCACAGCTGGTGAAAGGCTAGTGGCCTGGAATCAGGAAGACCTGAGTTCAAATCCAGATTTAGACTCAGGGCAATTCATTTAACCTGTTATTGCCTCAGTTTCCTCAACTGTAAAATGGGGATAATAATAGCACCTACCTGAGTGGGTTCCTGTGAGGATCAAAATGAGTTACAATTTATAAAAAGCACTTAGCCCTGTTTCTGGTTCCTAGCTGGTTCGATGTACATGTTTAATCCCTTTCTTCCTTCTTTGCTCTGTCCTCAAGCAGGGTGTTGACCTCTGTAGCACCTGGGGTTGGTGCTATCCTCACACCAAGACCTTCTAGAGGGGACATCTGAGTTACAATAGGGGATGCTCATCAGTTTGTCTTCAACCACATGCCAGGAAGGCCTCAAACTTTCTTGCTAATTTCCAGTCCTTGCATCAAGTCCCACAGAGTTTCATTAACAGTTCTTCCTTTGGGATGCTAGAAGGTATCATGGTTTCAGGGGTGTAGGTCTATAATAGCCCCATTCACTGTCTCCACATTCCTTAGCCCATAGCTTACACCCCCCCCCCACAAATACACACAGTATATTCTCAAAGCTGCGCACAGTAGTGCTGTCAGCACAGTCAGGCCAAGCCAGGAGGGAGTCCTTGGGGTGGATCTGTCCTTCAGACAGAGCATCAAGTCGATGACACCTGCCCGGCCATGCCAGCAACGAAACCCAGAGCCGGTTTGCAATTGGCCGATGTGTTTAGTTCAATGACACTGACAAATAAAATCCTTGATTCACTGTCCGTGGCAGAAGTGATATTTCACTGCAACCGCCTTTTAAACAATCAGAAAATGCTCCAATCCTAGTCTGAGCCCCCCACTGGATACCTGCTGCCAATACGGAGGTACTGCATGGGCACCTGCAGCGTAGCACCTGGGCCCCTCTCCCCTTCCCCAGGGGGCTCCCAGAATAGCTCCATTATCTGGGAGTCCACGGCCACTAAGGCCCCCACCGATGCTTTTGCTTCTTTCCTCCAATCAGGAGAAGTACATTGTGTTGTGGTTGTTCAGTTGTTTCAGTCAACTCTTTGTGACTCCTTGTGGGGTTTTCTTGGCAAAGACCTTGGAGGGGTTTGCCATTTCCTTCTCCAGCTCATTTTACAAATGAGGAAACTAAGGCAACAGGGTGAAGTCACTTGCCCAGGGTCACACAGGTAAGTTTCTGAGGCTGGATTTGAACTCAGGTTTTCCACACTCCAGGCCCAGGGCTCTACAGCTAGCCACCTAGCTGCCCCAAGATGCTATTAGTTCAAGGCTAATAGTATAGTAAGGAAAACCAAAATAAGGCAAAATCCATTTGCCATCAGTGCGGCGACAAGGCATGCATGGTGCTCACACATGAGGGGAACGCCTAGAGAGAACACATGTGGCCAGGGCTCATAAACAGAAGGGCAGCTCACTCCCAAGACCTCAGACAGCTGCAGCTAATGTTAACTGCTCAGTGAGCATTTATTGAGCACCTCCCCTCTGCCAGGCACTTTGTAAGCACTGGGCATACAAAGAAAGTGATAACAGACAAATAACTGTGTGAACAAGCTATAGACAGGATGGATAGAAAATAATGAAGCAGGAAGGCCCTGCTCCTTTCTGCACAGCCATGTTCCTCCTCCAGTCCCTGCTGGTGTCACAGCTCCGAGCTTCTAGGCTCCTCTCTTCAGAACGACACGAGCCACTCTGCTTGGGCCGACTCCCAAGTGAAGGATGTGGACAAGAAAAAGGTTTCCCGCTACTACTCCTTTGCTACAGTCTACTCATCCACTGACATCCTTTCTCATCCCAAAGGATGGGAAGTCTTTCCACCAGCATCATTCAGCACCAGGGTTCAGGAATAATGATCAGACAGTAACCTTCCTTGGAATGCCTCTAGGACCAGGACATAAACTGAGAAGATCATAGCAAGAATTCCTCAATGTGCATCATGCCTACATTTTAGAACTATGTATCCAGACGGCTTTTGGAAGCCACGTCTCCCACTGAAGCCCTGTAGAATGCCTGTGCGGCTGACCAGACCTGCTCTATGAGAGGCTGGCCATGGAGCTCTGGGAGGCTGAGAGGCAGCCAAGGCAGGATGGAGCAATGAAGGAGAAAGTGGACGAATGACTTCATTCTATTCTAGATAACTACTCATTATGAACTACTTTGTCCAACATCGTCTCCACTTCAGCCCCTAGTGTGATGGTGGACCAGCCGTGTGTGTCTATGCCAAGCCATAAGCCCAAGATGAGCCACATATCTGTTGTCTGAAGCTCAGCCCAGCCAAGAACGGATAGGGCAGACCACCCAGGCTTGGATCCTAGAAACAGGAAGACTGTCTAGATGTGTGGAGGCTCCTAGGGGAGAGAAGGGGCATCCAGTGGATTTCTGAACCATGCAAACACAGACAACACTAAAGAGACAAACCACTGAAGGCTTAAAGGGACCTGACAGATACTTTTCTATTCCAAACTCCTCACTTTAACCCTGAGAAAACTGAAGTCCAGAGAAGGTGAGTCGTTTGTCCAAGATTACCTTAATGCTAGGATTTAGTATTTATTGAGCACTGAACGAGTGCCAGGCAGGCACTGTGCTAAATGCTGGGCATGCAAAGAAAGCCAAACCCAGACCAAACCGTCCCTGTCCTCTAGGAGCTGAGGGGCCAAGGGGAGAAACCAACATGCCAATAACTCTATACAAATGAGAGAGAGAGCACAAGGTGGGGGTGATGTCAGAGGAAGGAAGGAAGGCACTAAGATTGAGGGCTGGCAGAGGCTTCTTGCAGTCACTGGAGCTGAGCTTTCCAGGAGGCCAGGAGGTGGTGGTGAGGTGAGGAGGGGGTCTTCTAACTCTGAATCTCCTCCCCCAGGTTGTTGGGGCCATGGAGAATTGACTAGAGACATTCCAGTAGACGGGGAAGGAAACTGTTCTCTCCACCACCCACATTCAGAACTCGGCTTCTTTTACTTGGAAATTAAAGCCCAGAACCCAGAGCTGTGCCTTCCCTAATTAAAAGTGTAACCAGCCTCCCCAGAGAGGAATGTAGGATCCATT